GCAGCGGCGGCCTTATCCATTGCGAGGCTCTGGGCGGCAGATCTTTGCGAGGCCCTTGTCCTTTGTGCAAAGTATGTGAATTGAAATAGTAGGCACTTATTAATATTAATATATACTGTATTATAAATTAAATTTATTTTATTGTTATAACTAATAGCCAAGGATAAAATAAAAAGTTTTAAATATCAACTTTTTTCTACTTGGTTGTTGCGCGAGGCCCCGGGCCATTGCCCTGCTCGCCACCCCCTAAGGCCGCCACTGATTTTGAATTATATTTACAGGCAGATAATGACTTACAGAATGGGTAAATATAGAATGACAAGGAGTCAGATAGTATTATTAAATATTGACAATGATAGCAATGATATGGAGTCTAAACGACTGGATTTTTACTCACACAACTAACATCCATATACTGTATACAGAAAGAAAATTCCGAATATTTTTCATTCATAAACGTTTTAAGTTCGATTGAGTCTAAAAATGTAAAAATCTTGGGAATCATTTTTTGATCGATCGCCATTTTACTTTCCCAGCCCTATGTTATACATAACAGAGCCGGAAAAGATCCATTACGTTATGAGCCATTCTGGTATGAATACCTGGCTTGTATAATTTATGTTTTGTCTCTCTCGGCATATCATTTTTCTGAAACATTCAAAATGGCTCATCCTAACAATGCAACTGTTGTATTGGATCTAACACCGAAGTGAGTATTCGTTATATTGAGAATTTAAGCATAATGATTTTTACAGAGGCTGTATTTTTATACAATTGTTTCTGAAATAGAAAGTAATATAGAAAACATTGCAAGTTATCGCTATATATATAGTAGAGAGAGAAGAGAGAGTGAGTCTATACCGGATGGCCTTATTTATGGGTTCGTATTACAGCACAGTTTGTCCATGGTCCTGGTCGAATGCCCACCGTGGCAAAAGAATTTGAAGGATAAACATATCTATAATATATATATCTAAATATATAAATAAAAAAGATCGCTTTGTAAAACGTACCAATAATGATATGCTGGGAAACTTGCGATAGATATTGGTATCGGTATGGTATCATTGGTGTTAGTATATAAAAATATTTAGGAAAAATAAGTTTTGATAATTAGATGTTAATTAAATAATAAGTACTAATTTCCTCTATCTTTGTGAGACAGTTTAAATAAAATATGAGTGCTTTTCAACGTATACTTAAAAATATCTATATCAAGTTTTAGCAATTCTATAAAATATTCCCTATATCACTTTTCAGAAAATTTTACAGGAAAGCTTATGAAAACGCCATAATGTAAATATCTAGTGTACCAGATCCCCTTAAGCTGCCAGTCGAATTCATCGAGTGACATTTCCACTTTCCAGGACGAGGACTTAGGGATTGGATTTTGGGAAGCAGTGTAGATGTTAAGTGACGGAGTTGTGTACAGCGACGATGCGAGATATGTAAATAAATGCGTGCACTGAAGAAATGAGCTAGTGATTCAATTGTAGATGTTATCGTGAGGGGTGTGTGTAAGGATGTGTTGTAGTGAAATAGAAGAAACCGCGAGCAATCTGATCGTTAGAATGCTGATCCCGTAATATCCCCGTTCATAAAATGGTCTTCGGTCCCCGGGTCCCACGTTAAATACTTACCACCTCGGAGGCATGCTCGCGGGAACTCAAGTGCAGAATTTTTCCATTCGTGAAGGGGTCTTCAGATTTCGGTTTCTGGGTCCTACGTTAAATACATTCTGGGAATGAAACGCCATTCGAAATTTTACGATGGAAACTCTTCAGCTATCCGAAATTCGATATTATAGAATGCAAATTAATCGTCATATAAATCTGTGGCAATACTTAATTCATTTCCATTGTTTTTGGTGAAGTATTGTTAAACAATAACCATAAAAATCATTGTTGGAACGATAAAGTTTAATTATTAAAGTCTGAAGAAATATATTTTAAATCAATTATACGGATTATTAATTAATACGGCTTTTTTTTAAAAGTTTCTATAATATTGTAAGCAGAAATTTTTTTTAAAAAAAAGTATTTAAATGTTTCCAATTGACGCTTTAGAAGGAGTTTCAATGCGCACAGAAGAGTTCAGTCTTCCATTTTCTTTTACATCGAGGAGTTGTATTGATAAGCGATATTCCTATAGAAAAAGTGCATGTTATGAGGACTACTTACAAATGTGATTGATACTAGAACCAGCAGATGAGCCCAGTGTTACTCGGACAAAAAGTAACAATTGCGAAGGTTAAAATTATTAAATTATAGTCGATCTCTCCGAGTGACACATACATATCTACGAGTGTTACTATTTATTTTCCTTCATTATTATTTATACTGACCAGAACTTTCAACTCCTAACAGTTTGGTCTCTCCTAACAGTTAACGTCTCACACTATGAGTTATTTTAGAAAATACCATTTTAAGTTTCTGGTAAACTTTAATTACTTTCTAATAGTTATATAGAGATTACGTATCAAATAAGAGATAAGTAATCTCTATATATTCCTATTATATCCAACGATACTGATGCACTTCACTGATTCTAACAAAGACTCATCCCCATAAAAAAATATTAAATGATAATTAAAAGAATTACATTGTTCGTGAGACCTCATAGGAAAAGTAGGCAAAGTTAAATATTTTTTTTTTTTTTTTTAAATATTAAACTTTGCCTACCTTTTGTATAAACAAGTATACTCTTGATGTTTTATATATATTTTTTAATTGTATATATTATAACTTTAATTGTATACAAATATATAAATTTAATAACAAACAATAAAAACATTTCATTTTACTTGATTACAACTTAGCATTAAATGCAATAAAATTAAAACTATTCAACACTTCGTACGAATACGCCACACTTCGTCACTCGAAAATCACCTGTCACAGGATTAAATAATAAAATGAATATTTAAATTGAATTTATAATCAAATTAGAATTTCTGTCCATTTTAGGTAAAGGCTTGTCGGTAGTTCTTTGTATTGTAAAATTTCTTAAAATCAAATTTTTTTGACGAATGTCAACGCCAGTTCAAAATTCCAGTCTGATAGAAATTTCGTAACGAATTTGTCCGTCCAATGGGCCCAGATGTGAAACAATCCAGTTTGAACAATAACAAATGTGACGTTTTCCGGGTCGTACCATCGAAGAGAGTCACTATAATAAAATGTTCTACAACGAAAAAGTTTGTATTAATATACAAAAAAATAAGTCAACCCCCCTATAACACTGTTGATTTTTCCGTTTTATATGAATTCCATGTTGTACGAGTCACTTAGATTTTACAAATACGTGAGCCGTTCACAGCCCGGCACATGTATTTGTAAAATTAAGCGACTCGTACAACATGGAATTCATATAAAACGGAAAAATCAACAGTATTATAAGGGGGTCGACTGTAATGAACGAGTAATCAATGTATAAGTAAGCAGCACTTACATTATCTCTTTCATAGTTACTGAAATCGTCAGAAAGGTAATGACAAAGAAGTTAAACAGCAGTATACGAACAAATTCTACTTTCTCTGGATCGGTATAAACGTCTTCCATCATTACTAAGTTCAATACTCCAAGGGATAACAACACCAAGAGCTGAAACCAAGGAAATAATATTAAAATAATTATTTTATTCTAAACCAAATAAAGAATTTCAATATTTCCACTTAAACTGCACTTCTTGATACTTACATTTAATAAGGAATCGTTAGAATTAAATAGGAAAAAATATAATATTTCCAATAAAATAATAAGATATTCCATTAAGTCGTCCATATTAAAATCCATTAAAATTTTTGTCAATTAAAATCTCCAGACTCGTCTTTTGCTCTTTACCTCGTCTTACCTTTTTACCTTCTCTTTGGTGATAATTATGCAGATTACAAGGGTTTTTAATAAAAATTTATCTACTTGAGATCAATTTTCACGAAAATTATTTTTATAATTTCATTTTAAAATAATAAATAATTTAGGTATTTATAATATTTCAAATAATTCGATTTTATCGTTCCTTCAAAATCGATAAATATGAAGCAACTGACGGTTTAATGATCAATTATTTTTAAATTATTACTAGTTTATATTATTTGTACACGAAACATAACAAATTATAAAACTTTATTCAATCATTACGTTTTAAATTCGTAATTATTTCGCAATGGAAAGTCGTGATATGGGAACGTCAAAAGCTTTTTATTGTACAGTATCGGTATCGTTACCAATGTCATTTTTAATAAAACAATATTTCGGTTTTCAAACCCACATTGGTGGTTCATTGCGGATTTATTTCATTGAAAATTATTCCAAAGTTTATTTCATTATAAGCATTTTGAATTATTATCACTTTATATACACTTTAAAGCAACCGTGAAAGGAATCGTGATGTGAAAGGAACCGTGAAAGGAATGTTGGCTGTGCGTGTAATGCACGCACAGCCAACAGTGGGTTTGAAAACATGCTCTTAGGTTTTTCGGAGAGGTTTTCACATCTAAGATGTTTACTATAATCTAGAGTAAAGCTTTCTAGACTTAGTAGTTTTTTTCTCCATAAACGTCTGCAGTGCCAGTTGAAAAAAAAGAAAATATATAGCATTCTGGTGATTTTTGCACTTTTCAATTGCTTGTATTATTCAACCGCTATATAGAAAATTTTGAAAGTTTTGCATACAATCCAAGGAAGATATTCGAAATTACTTCAGGGTTTTTGAGAGGCGAAAAATCGATCCCAAAAATAGGCAACTCTTCCTGTATATATAGTCAGTCAGTAAATTTTGTACTTGGCGGGGAGTCGCTGCCGTGATTCCTGATATTAATATAGACTTATATAATTTAAATCAGTTCAATATTTTGCTATTTAAAAATTTAAATTCTGCCAGAATGAATTAGAATTAATATGTCTTGTCTTGGATCGGCTAGTTGGGCATGAGTTTCTAAGCTATGATAAAATGTAAAATAATTGCCATGTAATAGTAGTATGTTGTATGCGTTTATGATGGTCGTTACGCGGAGAATCATGCCTTCCGGGAGGTCTTTTAAGGATAACTGGACCCTATTCAAGCGTTACAGACGTGTTATTTTGTGGAAAAAAGAAAAAAATGCCTAGGGGAAAGTGTAAGAGGTCAGCTAACTTTTAGATCTAAAACAGGGCTTCTTAAACTATGAATCGCGACCCCATTTTGGGTCGCTTAGCGAAATCTTGGGGTCGTCAGATTTTAATCTATATATATAAAAATGAATGTATGTGTGTGTGTGTGTGTGTGTGTGTGTCCATGCATTATCGCACCGTTTATCCGATTGCCGTGAAACTTTGGGAAGTTGTTTAATATACTCCGGCAAAGGTTTGTGGCATAGTACGATTGCCATAAAACTTCGGAAAGTTTCTTAATACACTCCCGCGAAGGTTTTTGGCATAGTACATTTATCCTACGATAGATGGCGCGCGTTTACACGAGCATTTGAGCACAGTGTGTTCGATCCATTTTAAATTGTGAAGACCATTTCCCCCTTCAAAAAATATTTCTATATATGCATTTGTGAACTGTTATTTACGATATTCGTAATAATGTTTGTTTAATCACTTTATTTCAACTTTATTTTGCTAATTACGTATTCGCTCGAACTTTGTTAAAACTTTATACCGAACAACAACCGAAGTTGTAGAAGGAAATTCGCCTATTTTACCGATCTAGGGATCCCCTTTTCCAAATTTTAATATCATCTAATAATTTCAAAAGACAAATTACAATAAAACGGTTTATTATCCAACTATCAGAAATTTCACAACATGCCAAGGAAGAGAGGAAGGAGCAATTAAATAATAAAAATTATAAAGGATTTAAAAATATATATAAAAATGGGGAATATCGCACTTCTGACAATCGCAGTGAGTGTGTGAGCTAAATTTGGAGAATCCGTGCTTCTCGCATGGACAACTGTATGTGGCCGGCTCACGCATCGAAAAACCTTCCGATTTATTCGTGTACGCTCCAGACGGAAAAACAAAAAATATCGTGTATCCACAAACACTCCAATAAATAAATAGAATTGAAACGACACTTTGAAATGTTTTCCCGATGAAAATGAATAATAATAATAAGTTTCAATAAAAATAATAAAATGTAAATTGAATTTTATCATAACGAGTTTGCTTGAATTTCCTTTCTTCTGAGATCGCAGCATTGCGCGACGGGTAAGCTAGTGCAAAATATTAAAAATAATTTGTGAGAGTTTGAAAATGGCACGCTTTGTGTCATAGGTTTCGTGAGTTGAGCTTCTGGTGTATCGAGACAACGATTCAGCAACACTGATTATAGTGTGAACTGGTGTATTATTGTCGCTTTTCAGTGTATTCAGTTGTCTCTGTTCTATTGTAACACAAGAGTGAACTGTGGTAGTACACCATTATTGTTTTTGCAAATTTGTATATATCTTTATTTTATATATTTTTTTTGAGTCGCGAAAAAAATCACAATCATAAATGAGGTCGTGAATAAAAAAAAGTTTAAGAAGCCCTGATCTAAAAGAATAAGAACAACCGAGACCCTCGAAAGCAGTAAAGTAGGACTTGAGCAACATCGAGTAAGGATGGCTTTGTCAAGGGCTGCAGAAACAGCCTCACAAAGTCGAGCTCGGCTTGAATCTCTTCTCCATTTTTCAATCTCTACTTTCTCAAAAACAAATATTCTGTTATTATTGACAGGAAAATTTCTACTTCCAGTATAGTAAGGTTCGCATTGTTAAGCTGTTTGTTCGTTCGTTCTTTCGCTTACTTGATGGCTTGCCTTTACCAAGCCTTACGATCTTATTTAGAAAACAAGTTTTATAATTTTAATTACAATATAACTTAATAAAATTGTGTGTGGCGCCATCTGTTATGGAATTTTATTTAAAAAATTTATATTATTAATTACTATAAAATAGCAAAAAGCGTGATTTTGTGGGTTGGGATAAGGTAGGGATTCTTATAAAAGAGTATAAATGTTAATAACGAGTAAAATCCATATTAAGTTTGACCCTACTGGAGATACACACTGTAGTGGTTGATGCACCACTTGAGTGTTCGTTGATTTATAAAATAACCGAAGCTTAATACAGTAGAGCGTCGTTTATCCGAAAGTCGATTGTCCGAAACGTCGGTTATCCGAAAGCATTCCAGTCGGCAAATCTAAATTTTCGCTAGTGCTGTGGCGCTGCAATCTTTGGCTATATCTTAGGCTACTCCAATATTTTTTATGTTCGTGTGTGTTTTAGCTGGCAGCACTGTCACTTTTGTGTGGNCATTATTGTTTTTGCAAATTTGTATATATCTTTATTTTATATATTTTTTTTGAGTCGCGAAAAAAATCACAATCATAAATGAGGTCGTGAATAAAAAAAAGTTTAAGAAGCCCTGATCTAAAAGAATAAGAACAACCGAGACCCTCGAAAGCAGTAAAGTAGGACTTGAGCAACATCGAGTAAGGATGGCTTTGTCAAGGGCTGCAGAAACAGCCTCACAAAGTCGAGCTCGGCTTGAATCTCTTCTCCATTTTTCAATCTCTACTTTCTCAAAAACAAATATTCTGTTATTATTGACAGGAAAATTTCTACTTCCAGTATAGTAAGGTTCGCATTGTTAAGCTGTTTGTTCGTTCGTTCTTTCGCTTACTTGATGGCTTGCCTTTACCAAGCCTTACGATCTTATTTAGAAAACAAGTTTTATAATTTTAATTACAATATAACTTAATAAAATTGTGTGTGGCGCCATCTGTTATGGAATTTTATTTAAAAAATTTATATTATTAATTACTATAAAATGGCAAAAAGCGTGATTTTGTGGGTTGGGATAAGGTAGGGATTCTTATAAAAGAGTATAAATGTTAATAACGAGTAAAATCCATATTAAGTTTGACCCTACTGGAGATACACACTGTAGTGGTTGATGCACCACTTGAGTGTTCGTTGATTTATAAAATAACCGAAGCTTAATACAGTAGAGCGTCGTTTATCCGAAAGTCGATTGTCCGAAACGTCGGTTATCCGAAAGCATTCCAGTCGGCAAATCTAAATTTTCGCTAGTGCTGTGGCGCTGCAATCTTTGGCTATATCTTAGGCTACTCCAATATTTTTTATGTTCGTGTGTGTTTTAGCTGGCAGCACTGTCACTTTTGTGTGGTGTTTTTTTGAGGACTGTGTGTCATGCTGAATCGAACGTCTTTGATACTAGATAACTTCTAAAGTATGATTTTTTTTGTTTTTATATTTTTCAATATATTTATTTTGTAAAAAATAAAGGAATAATTTTTAACGATACAATAGCCACGATTATTATTTTAAAAAGTTTACGTTAGGCTTAACATCGACGAAAATTCACCGCGAAGCGACATGCAACGGAGAAAAATTTCAACACGGGATAGGTTAATGTATTTTTCGTACATAATCGGTTATCCGAAAAATAAGTTATCCGAACAACCCCAGTTCCCAATTTATTCGGATAAACGACGTTCTACTGTATCTCACCATAAAAATTTATTTACAATCACGTATAAGATTTTGTTTTACACTTATTGAGTAAAGTTCGATCGGTTACTAGCATGCGTCGGTAAAAAACATTCACTTGTCTTGAGTAGGGTAGCCGAGAGACAGAAGAAGAATATGGCTGACGAACTGCACCTGTTTTAATAGCTCCATCTGGATTTTCCGATGCAACGCTAGGTTACAATTATTCGACCGCCACACACACGATCCCCTCTATCTCCCTACCCGCTCGACCTTTTACTACCAAACTTTAATATCGTCAATATATAAACCAACATGCCCAATTGCCTTTTTTTCTTTCTTGGGTTCAGAGGGTATGAAAACGTGGAGATTTGTAATTAAA